AATAGTATTTCATATGTTCCATCTCTCTTTCTTTCTTTCAATTGAGTGGTATTAGATTGTGTTTTAAAAGATCCAAAAGATTAATATTGCATAATACTGTGTTTTTATTCCTTTTTCTGAAAAAAGTTGTATTCTCCTGCAAGGCTTTTTGGGTACATAAGGAAGCCTACAAAATCAGCAGAACAGAGATATTCAGTTCATTAGGAATATGAATAAGTATAGCCCATATTTTGTATATTGCAGACATTTACATTTGGCTGGGTTAGTGCACTGAACTAACAAATGTTTGGAAATTTGAACCATATGGAGCATGATACTCTTGACTGTAAAAAAATTAACTCTGACATATAACATGTTTTTTTTCTAAATCTAACAAGCCTGAACATCCTAGTTTAAATGTTGCATATGATTTGGTTTACAGAAACCTAGTAATACAATTAGAGATAGATTTGACCCAAAATATTAAAACCAAAACTCCATTCCTGAACATTGACAAGATTCTGATCAGCATCAGAATCTACACTTTTCAACCTGGGTCCAATTCTAGCTATAATGGAATTATAATACTTAAAATAAAATGGTGAGTTCACTTTTATTGGTGTATGTTGTCTTTTTAAAATTCATGCTTGCATTCTTTTCACATATTATTTACAATGGATATTTGAGTACTAGAATTTAATTGTGGTTTACAATTGCAACTTATTTTTAAAAACAAAAATGTGAATGTAAATGTTGTGTATTTAAAACATCTGAATATCTATAGGAGCCATGAGCAAACCCAACAGTGTTTGGGGTTTGGGAAAATTCTCAAGCTATGGAGTTTTGAAGAGTTTGTTTCATTGCATAAACTTTTTTCTTCAGTAATTTAAGCCAACATTTTCTCCAAAGTAGTTTCAATTAAAAAGATGCTTTTCTCACTAAATGAAATGCTGAATTATGCACTATAAATGGAATAATACATTCAACAAAATAGGCTGGCACAGGTGGGTGCCTTATATGCATTATGTTGAGTCAAATGAATCTTTCACTTTGACCCATACCGTCTCATTGTTGTTACGCTTCCAGCTTTTTTCAATTATTTTTTCATGCGAAAAGCCTGTCTCTCTTTTCAGCGCATCATTTGAGAAATCTGCTCTTTCTGTCAATGCAGTTGCATGGATGTAAATAAGTATGTATTTATTCTTTCTGGGAAGGAGTTCATTCCTTTTCTTCCCCCTTCTATTAGTTCACAGTCTCTCTGGGGTTTTTTTCTCTGCCCACTCCTTTCTCTATTATAACTTTGTACTTCCTTTGGACTCTTCCCTCCTCTCTGCTTTCTCTTAGCTAGAATACGAATTTAACTCCTTGTGAAAAGAGTTAAATTCATATTCCATTGTGAATCCTGAACC